GACCCTTACACTCCTCATTCAATTTGATTTAAAAATAATCATTTTACATACACCTCATTTTCAAATTATAACCTTTTGATTAAATATCAGTCCAATCTGACAAGCGAGTGCAAGTAACAAAATATGTTTTGGAACTTATAAGTGCAAATGTCTAACTACTTTTCACATGGGTAGACATGTGGCGCACTTACAGTAAAAGTAGTCGCCAACTTCTACCCACCGTGATTATCATAGCCTGTACCACGTGTACTAGGAATAATAAAAACCAAAAACCATTTGAAGAGTCAACGGTCACTGCGACACTCAGAATATTCATTTCAATCTAAATAATATTTGCGTAAACGCCCCATTTTTATTTTATAATAATATCCAGAGAATATACTCTCTCGATTGAATAAAATACTTATAAGAAAAACCCATGTCAAATTCTATTTTCATATAAATGTTTGAAAATATATTAATATACAAAAAAATGCATTGATATGTCCATAATTTTCTTTAAACCCATTTCTAAGATTCCATCCTTCAGTGCTGCGTATATAAGCAGAATCGTCCAATATAGTAATAGAGCTCTGAGAAGCGGTCTGGTGGATTAAATTGGCGAAACCGCTGGGAGGGTTCATCACTGATGAGCCAAGCCCTCCCAATATATTTTTCATCGCAGTAAGGGCAGTAGAAGTTTGTATTATGTATAAAATAAACATTCGTGGTTTTAAATCCTTTCATTTTATATGTATAGATGGCGCGTTATTGCTTTGTGTTAATTAATACTTTTATAGGTAGACTCACACACGAGACATAAAACACAAACAAAATTAATATTAGCTTATTAACTAAAATATTCATTTTTAAAAATATTAACTTTGACACACAAAAATAATATTATATTTATTTTATTTCTAAATTTACTCTTTATTTTTATATAGAAAATAAAAGAAGAAATATTCTCTATAGAGAAAATGTATAAAATGATTATAAAAGAGAATATTTAATATCATCAAAATAATTAAAGAGAAAATGTTAAAGATAATTAAAAAATTGCCTCGTCAAGGTTAATAAGAAAAGACACATTGTTTAGTAGCGGCCATAGAATAGCTGTAATCGGATAGCTCTTAATTGGTGAGAAATCCTGTCAGGGCTAATAACACTTTACCTTTTTTTAAATTCCCTTCTTACTCTGCCATGTTTCTATCTTAGATCATCTTAATTTGTATGTTTAATACATTGTTAGGATTCAATGTATCTTGAAGCTTAACTTCGATGAGATTTTGTAATAAATTAGGAGTATATGAATGTTATATTAAACTATTATTTTATTTAAAAAATTATATTTCATAGATTCAAATACTCTGTTAAATCGACCGCCAGAGGTCACGCTTCCCCTATAATAACTCGTTGTTGTTGTTTCCCGATGGCCGGCTAAAACCTTTGTAATTATGTAAATAATCTTTTGTTTTTCCTTTTTCTACTCGCCTAAAGACAGGCAGTACTTTTATCAAATTATGTTTTTATATATTCCTTTAGTTCAATTAAATCAATCTCTGATCAAAATTATTTTATTATTCCCACGACTGCAAAACAATATCATAATGATACTCATTTATCCAAAAAAAATAATTAGAAAATAATATTCCAAAGTCAACAGCATAAATCATTTTTAAATATAATATATATTAGGAAATAATATTTTCTGATGATTTTGATTATCTTGAGGATTATGCTATGGAATTATTTGCTGGTTCTTTTTAGTACTAAATGGTATTGGTAATGCAGTCGTGGAAAAAATCTTGAAAGTAAAATAATAAAAATAGTTTTAATCATTAAATGCTTTAATTGAGCTAAAGGGATATATGAAAACATAATTTGATAAATGTACTGCCTGGCTTAAGAGGTAAGAATAAAATACTTATTTACATAATTTACAAACGGTTTGAGCTGGCCATCCAGAAACAACAACAATGAGTTTTATAGGGGAAGCGCGACCTCTGGCGGTCGATTTAACATAGTAATTATTTCTATAAATTTTAATTTTAAAATGAAATATTTTTCTATAACATATATATTATATATAAAAATGTTATTTTATTTTGAAATAATAATTTATAGAACATATTACTCTGTTAAATCTACCGCCAGAGGTCGACGCTTTCTCTATATAAATCGATGTTTGTTGTTTCCCGTTGGCCGTCTCAAATCTTTTATAGATATGTAAGTAGGTCTTTCATTTTCTTTATTATTACGCCTTAAATCAGGCAATACTTTCTCAAATTATGTTTTTTATATTTTATAAGCTTAATTAAAACAAACTAGCGAATAATGATTTAAAGAGTTTTTTTATTATATCGACCACGATTACAATATCACAAATATACTCATGTATCTAAATATAACCAGCAAATAATAATTCTATAACTCTAATCCTAAAAGCAAAAACAGAATTCCTTTTTGTAATATATATATATTAGCATGTTGAGCTACCGCAGTTACTGTGTATCAAATATCTTTCAGAGCATATACATGCTAAATGGTGCATCTTCTTTAAGTTTTGTCCATGAGTGTATATTAGCAGTATGAGAATATTTCGAATTCATTACATCGAAGCATTTTTTTTGTTTTAATTATTCTTTAAATGTACCTCAGCATTAGCGAAGAGCTAATGCTCTAGTCTTAAAGTAACCTCTAATTATCATGATGTATTCAGGTACCTTTGCTCTCAATAACATTGACCATGTCCTATTATTTGAAATGACCGATTAGAAACATTAGTTCTCGGAATAATAACATTGTCATCGTGGATGATCAAGTGTAAATAAAGGATAACATCATCAAAAATATATGAAAACCTGAAAATCAAATGATTCTATCTAATTAAAATTTAAAATAATGAGTGTGTATGATGACAGCATGCTCATAGAATATGTTTAAAAGTAGGTGGAGTATTTATTTGTACATAAAGACATGATATATATAGATATTAAAAATAAAAAAGGCAATCCTGACCAGGAGCACATGTGCTTTCCAGAAGGCAGAGCGCCATCTGGTAGAACAGAAATCAACTAATCATTGATTTAGCCTGTTCCCTGATATTTGGCCAACTCAATTTCTTGATAAATCTAGAAAATCCATCCACGAACGCGTTTCGCGCTGTTGGCGCTCGTCAGCGTGTCATAATTTCATATATATTCTTCCAGGAAATAATAAAGAGATCGGGATCGCTTTGAAAAGAATACGTATCGGTAAATGGACTTGCTACCTACTCGCGGTACGCTCGGCATTATGTAGATAGCTGTTTATCTAGCTTGAGCCATTTTTATTCTCTCTGTAGTCGTCCCATTCATATTATTTTAATTAAGTCGTTTTTCCCCATTTCCCTTCCACTCTACACGTATTGTGAAATATAAATATATAGTTTCTTCACGTTAATTTATATTGGCTTGGTTCAAAAATTATTGTAAAACATAATTTCGCACATAACTTATTGTTGAACTTTATTGGATTATATATAATGTTTAAAGAATCTAGATGTAGTTCTTGACCCATTAGTTTAACAGGTTATCATTTAGGGATAATAGAGATATGAGAAACTACTCCTTTCTAAAATGCTATTAGTACAAATTCGAAAAAAAAAAACCTAACTTTTTTATTCTCTATAATAGTTAAGAAGAATAATATATCATCGTATTTATGAAGCATAGAATTCGAAGAATCGCAATAATCCGTGCAAGCTCCCATTTGTTTAAAAAATGTCCATCTTCTAATTTACTCTAAAGACTTGCAATAGAACAGATGTCTAGATAGGTAAGGAAGATTAGATTCGAAATAAAATCGAAATTCCTTATTGGCTGAAGTATCCCATCGCTAACAATGCAATGAGAAGGACCAGTAATAAGGAGAAATGGATCTCACTTGATTACGGCCTGAGAGCGACATTTCGATCAAACGTTGATAATGATAAGCCGTATTGGTTTAAATATTGGAGAGCCCAAGGCATCTTGCATCTTAATGGCAATCCACCTTGTCTTTCTGTCCATTTAGATATTGATCAAACCTGTTTTATCTGTAAACGATAATTTAATTCGTTGTCTTTATTTCGATTGATGACTGAAAAGCATTCAAAGAATAGAGATTGATTTGTAGCATTATTTCGGAAACATTTCAAATATGATTTTGAATTTCTTAGCACTATATATATTGGTTAAAATTAGAAATTTATGTTCAACGTTACTTATATACATATTTATAATTTAAAGTTATTTTTACACAGAACTTATACTCCAATAAATAAAAGTGAATCAAGTAAGGCATGTGATTATTTTCAGCAGTTTGTAGATTATTTTAAAATGTTGTTAGATTTTAAAATATCCTTTTATTTTAATAATAAACTATAGAAACGAAAATACTATGCAATATAAAAGATGGAATATTAATATAGCGATGGACAAACAACTCTAAAAAAATATCTATATGTTCAATATTTATACTATTCTACATATTCAAAAATAAAAACAAATATTTGAATTACTTAACATTACAAGCACATTTTGCCGTCTATATGGTATGATATTAAGACCTTTTACTTTAATATTTTGGGACGATGATGGATATTTCTATGGAGTTTTGCATTATGTGAATATGGGTTTGACTGAATCGCATATCAGCCGTCGTTAAAAACAAATTTGCATAGCAAAAAGGTTTTTTGATTCTATTGGAAAGTTATATAAAGGGAAACATAGATTTTTATATATCATAACATAGTGCAATACAACGCGTTTGTATTATAAAGACACGAGAAAGAGTGGGTTATCAAAATTAATAATCTTTGTTTCAAGGGAAATGCGTCTCTTTATATGAGGTAACCTGGTCCAATTTCGCCGGCCTATTTAACAATTCAGGTTTCTATGTTAGTGACACTTGACAATTTAAACTAATTTATTGACACCTCAGTCAATAATCGCAAAATCAAGAAGAGATTGGAAAAATAATTAAAATACATAAAAAGATGGCGAAACGTGGGTTCGAACCAGGGACGCTAAGGTCTACAATCGAACGCTTTCACAACTGAGCTATCCCGCGCCTTATATAATACTATTTTTAAAATGAGGAATAAATTTATAATATCGTATTTTCATCTGTATTTAGAGTGTGTGTGTGTAATTAAGTTATTTACCTTATCAGGCTACCTTTGATAATATTGTTTTTCTCTCTCTCGTAATCTATTTTATTTACCTCTAAGGTTAATTATGCCATTAAGGATGTTTATTCTCAGCGAATGGCACATTAAGATTCTTACAGGGGATATAATGAGGTGAAAAGTTGTAGAGGGGTCAAATTATTCTAATTTTATTAAAGATCAACAGGGCTTGGTAAAATGTGGTGCACACTTTTCTACAGAGAGAACATGGGATTAAACCCTGCATTGAACACTTTTTCTACTTCAATTTCACCCGATTCTTTCAGAGGTTTAGGTTTGATTCCTATAATGACAATAATAAAACTTGCACATACACACATTCACAGAATATCTTTTAAAAGAACATCAAATACAAGTTTAAATTAAAATTGGAGGATTTTTTATTTCTAAACTTTATAGTTTCATGCAATACTTTATTTTGAACGCAATAAAAAACGCCTAAGCTTGTATTGCCTAATAAATAAAGAAACGTATTTTGCCTGATATTCAATAATTCAAACATATTTTTTGTACTCCCATAACTGATTTCTATATGTGTAAACATATGGTGCGCCTACAGTAAAAGGCGTTTTCTAATTCAGGATTCAATATATAATTTTTTAAAATTTAAAAATTGAGTTTAAGTATCAGTTGTAAAAATTCACGCTGTTCCCGTGTATTTGTAAACACTTCTTATGATAAATATTCCGTTTTATATTAAGCCTGTTGAAGAGATACTATCTATCGAAGCTAGCCTTGAAAGAAACATTGTTAGAAATATGTATAGTTTTAAGCGGGGTGGGGGGGGGGGGTTCTAATTAAATACAGTCGAACTTGGATAATTCGAACCCCAAGGGACCATAAAAAAATTCGAATTATCCAAAAATTCGAATTAAAAACGGAAATTCTATTTATAGGAAATACTAGGGACCAAGATAAATATTCGAATTAAAGAGGTTTTCGAATTATCCAAGTTCTACAGTAAAGATATTTCGAAGTTCCTAACTTCAACAAATCAATCTTTGAAAAAACCTATATCAAAGCCCTATAGAATTTTATTCATATATAAACGTATAGATAGATGTTATATAAAAATAAATAGAGATTTTCTACTTGAATTTTGGTTACCTTGTGGATTATGCTATGGAATTATTTGCTGGTTCTTTTTAGTACTAAATGGTATTGGTAATGCAGTCGTGGTTGAAATCTTTAAAGTATGATAATGATAATAGTAAATATTATAAATAGCTTTAATTGAGCTTATAGGATATGTAAGAAAACATAATTTGATAAAAGTAATGCCTGGCTTAAGGCGAGTAGAATAAGGAAAACAAAAGATTATTTACATAATGTACAAAGGTTTTGAGCCGGCCGTTGGGATAGAACAACAACGAGTTTTTATGGGGGAAGAGTGACCTCTGGCGGTCGATTTAGCAGAGTATTTGAATCTATGAAATTATAATTTAAAATAAAATAATATTTTTATATAACATACATATATTAAGAAATATATTTTTAAGCCTTGTCGACAAATTCGATTTCACGAAAATTCAATGTCTAAAAATATGAATAAAATTCATAATATTTAGAAAAAGGTCTTTCCTGATCGTGCATTTAAACGTTTTCACGTAAACGCTGATGGATTGCCCCATCTATCGGAATAAATAACAATCAATCGCTGAATTTTTAATTATTACAGAATTGATTGATCAAGAATGGGTAATTGGCCAATTCTTATTAATTAAAAATCAACAAATAGTTGATATTTATTCCGACAGATGGCGCAAGTTATCACCAACTTTTAGTTTCACGATGAGAAAATGCCTCTCTCTCTTTTTCTCAATTTATCTACTTGATTCAGGTATATTTTACTTTTGTACTATCTTCTTTACATTTTATAATATGCAGAGATAATTAACATTAACAATTTAGTAAATAATAACATTTCCCTAACTAAAATTTAATTGTTTACCGTCAACATAGGGATAAAAGTCGACATGCTAAATATCCTTTAAAACGAATTTAGTGAAAATTCAAATTGTGTTTCTATTTCATTCCCCTAGAGACATCACTCTTTGTTTGAAATTAATATATCAAGTTAAGTCAAGTTTAGTTAAGATGTTAATATAACTCACAATGAGAGGGGATATAGATGACAATTAAATTAAGATTTAAATAATTAATTTGTATAAGGTAGATAGTAAACGACTAGGCCATTAGGGTTAAGCGAATAAACAGAATATGCTAATGCACATACGACACTTCAAATTCAATATTTTCCAAGAAGACAGCAAGAAGACTCTAAGTGATGTTAATGTTAAAGTAACATGATTCCTGATATATTTTATTCCTCTATTCTCAAGATATCTGATTACATCTCTATATTATGTAAATATAATATTACTTCTCCTTATTTAATATTCAGATTTCACAAATAAATGTCCCCCTTTGTCGTATTGATATTTTCTTTAAAAGGGTATATAATTGAACAAAGAATCTATACAGAATCATAGTTTGTCAAAAAGCATCTCCTGATAACTGTAAATTAAAAGTTATTCCGATAGATGGTACATACCATCAGTATCTTTCGTTTATATATGAATATATATTTTAAATATCATTGGTTTTCATTATTTATATATTATTAATTTCAAAAAATATATTTCTTTATAGATGGGTGGTCTTAATAAATCTGTATGTGCGTGTAACAAATCTAAAGGAAGTTTTACATTTTAGTATGTATATAGATTTTTTTTTACTTATCCCTAGTACACGTGGTACAGGCCATGATAATCATGGTGGGTAGTTAGCGACTGCTTTTACTGTAAGTGCACCACATGTCTACACATGTGAAAAGCAGTTCGACTTTGCACTTACAAATGCCAGAGCCCCGTTTGGTTACTTGCACTCGCTGGTGGGGTTGGACTTTTGCAAGAATCGGGGGCCATTGGAGCATTTTTTTTTAACAGAAAAAAGTGTCCAATGCGGGAATCGAACCCGGGTCCTAGTGGTCAAAACCAAACGGTTTAACCAGCCTTCCACCGACCCCCCTTGTATATAGATTGGTATAGTTAAGGTCTCAGGTTATAGCAGTTGTGTGTGAAGCAGCGGAAACAATAAGGTAAGATACAAACTTTTTAATTGACTATATATAATTGTAATTTTTTTAAAACTAATTCCAGTATGAGTAATTGAAAGAAAAACTTTAAAAAACTCTAATGAGCAATATTTGAAGAGGTTGTACCTTTTAGCATGTATATTGGGATTCAAACAATACCTCTGTAAGATATTTGATACATGGTGACCTTTATTTACTAAACACGAGGTAACTAAGTATGAACAAAATTGCCTCCGTTTCCTTTAAAAAAAAAACAAAAAACAGATAACCAGCGATATCAGAGACTTTCTCCTTCCTTAAGTTTTGCCCATTAGTACCATTTAACATGTATATCAGTATTCAGACAATAACTCTGAAAGATATTTGATATACAGTGACCTTTATTGAAGACACAGGATATAACAAAGTGTGAACAAAATTACCTTTGACTACTTAAAAGAAAAGGATGAACAGGAACATCAAAGACTTTCACTTTCTTAAGTTTTGTCCATGAGTGTAATAATCCATTACTGGTATAATCCAGGCTTTTCCAATATATTTATCATCAGAATTATTTTGATTAAAGAAGTGAGATATCAATATTTATTTACAAATTATTGTGCATACATTAACACTATTATATATAATAAAGAAAGTTTCATATAAATTTTTTTTTTATTATTTTATTGAAAAGGCATATATTTGTCCAAAATATAGTCTGAAACATTAGCGCGCCATCTGTTATCAATATTCGAAACTATTATAGGCCAAAAACAAATAAATTAATAGCATGTGGCGTTTCGGTAACAGCATTGTTACCATCATCAGACAAAAGAATAAATTAATTTACCTGATGATAATAAATTAATTTGTCTGATAATGGCAACAACGCTGTTACCAAAATGTCAAAAACGTATACTTTATAAAAATATATATATTAAACTGGCGAAACCGCTGGGAGGGTTCACCACTGATGAGCCAGGCCCTCCCATTAATTTTTTCCATTGCAGTAAGGACAGTAGAAATTGTTTATTTTTAAAAAGAATCATACGCGTCTATAATAGTTTCGAATTTTGAATATATAGTCTATTAAGGTAAATTATTAATATTTTGATCGATTATATGCCTTTTTAATTAAATATCTATATATAGATTGCTCTATTTCCAAAAATGAAATATATATATAACAGTTTTAATTCACAAATATTATATAAATATATATATATATATATATTATATTTTCTGTTATCTATAAAAACTGCTGAGAATTTCTGTGAACGGCAAATTCTTCGGTCAATTCTCAGGAGAACCACTTTTATCAATTTTATCTAATCAATAAAGGCAGAGTTTTATTACAATGCCAGGGCTAAATTTAATTTCCTTCGCTATTTTTTGAGGCCTTATAATAAATACACCTAAATTATTAGTCGAGAGGAATTCAAATTAGTTTATATTAGTTATCTTTTAAACTGGAAGGAAATAAATTATTAATTAGGTTTGTGTGTTTGGTTTTCACGCACGCACACCCGTTAGAAATTTAACAACTACGCTATGCTAAAGTTAGATTTTAATAGTTTAATATTTTTATAGAATATTTTTTAAAATTATTTTCCTTAAAAAGAGAAAGAAAAGGTGAATATTACTATCTAATTATTATATTAGATTTAGTAATATTCAGTGTGAATATTTTTGGTAACCTCAATATTTTTATGGTTTTAGATTTTTTTTTTACATGAATATATTATAAAAATTAAGAGTTTATATATTATTTTATAATATTATTTGATTTTTTAAATATTTGAATATAT